ACACAGCCCAGAAGACCCACACCAGCCATCGTATGCCGGCCATGAAAGCCTTCAACAATACGATGAGATTGTTATTTATATAAGTGCACATAAGCTTCCCTACCCCTCCTGGAATTCTAATAGGTGGTGGCATTATGTTTTCTGCCATATATGTGGTACTATCAATCTTCAGTGATATACTGAGCCAACTTTGCAAGACATGGCAGACCAATATTACATAAACATGAATCTTTGCAGATCATATTTTACAGTATGCCATTCATTTGGAAGATACTATCTGCATACCAGCCATGTACTTGTAACCCATCTTGGATCTTTTAGAAAGAGATAGGATCACTCCTTAATAAGGAAACCACTAAACTCATACCTCCAGCATAAGCTATCAGTGGATTTCATGTCTGCTATACTGCCATGCTGTAATTGTATGTGGGAATGACCTTGGGAGATGTGGAAGAGCCACAGCAAAGGGAACCATTGGATAAGAGACATCTTAGTCCGCAGAAGGAATATGGGCATGGCATACATCTCAGAAGGGACCCTCCCTAGTTTTTTGGACTGTGAAGGCGATGGAAGAGAAATGTACTTTCAGGCTTGCAAGATTCTGTTAATGTTACCTTTCAATAAAGTAGAGCTAGTACTTCTCTGTATGCTTCCTCTCTGTCTGCCTCACAAGGCTGATGCATGCCTATTCACTATCTTAAACTTTTAATTCTCGATAGGATTAACTGGCCTTGAAATTCAGAATAAGACAACTCCAAACATTTTGCCACCATTGAAGAGAGTGGATTGGTTTAAGTTATAGATCTGAGAGAGATACTAACATATTCCATTGAGAAACAATTCTTAATGTTTCTGATAAGATCATTCCAACTCAGCATTCTTCCTTTTAGGCTATCCACAGCTCCAGGATCTTCACAAAATGTTTGGTGGCTGCTTGTAAGGGATCCAATATATTCATATTGGGATACTTGGTGTTTAGATACCAATTCTAAGGCTCACCTGGTTTACCATATCAACTTCAGTCTGCATCTCTCCAAGCGTAGTGTCTGAATTGGTTGAGAAAACTCCTTTTAACCCTAAGATATCAACAGTCATTGGGACACAACTGAATTCAGTTGAGACAGATTTTCCTATGCCTCCAGTACCTGTTCTTGTACCTAAAGAAGTCACACTCACTGTTAAAAAGTGCATGTAAAAGTTGTACCAAAAGTCAGGCCCCATAGACAATTTATTATATAAATTACATTAAATGTTTGAATTGTTGCCATTTTCTTCTAAAGAGTTCGATACTTGTTCGATGCATGACTATTGAAGATTCCTAAGTCCAGTAACATTTCCTCTGGGGGAAAAAAATTCTCCCAGCATCTTCTTGATCTTATGGCAGTATTCTTAGTTAAGATACCTCTTGCTTGGCCTGTACCAGCACCACCTCTCAAATGAGATTTTTCACAGCAATCCATGAATCAGTCATGGAGTGCCATTTTTCTCACTACTTCCATCTGTCACCACAGATGACTTTCAAATAAGAAGGAAATTGTGTTCAGCATAACTACCAATCAGAGGCCATTGGAACTGGCAAGACAACAAACTCTTGGCATATGGGAAGGAGGTTTGTTTGTTGCATTTCAGCCAGTACTGAGATACAAAATAATACAGACTGACTTACACAATTCAGCAGCAAACAAAAACAAAAAAACAAAATGAAAATAGGAATAAAATCCCAATTCATGCTACACCTGGAAATATATTTTAAAAAGTGAAACATTTCATACTATATAGCTCAAATAGCTAGAGGTGTATCAAGGACAATCAATGTATGGTAGTAGGGCTGGATCAAGACTCCAGGGTTACCCACAAATGGATTGGTGAATCATTTGGGAGCGACTTGTGCCTTATTTAGGTGCTGGGGACACCAGCACCAGATCTCTTCGCTTCAACTGTCATCAAAACTGTCAATTGGAATTTATGTGTAGGGATAGTTATGTCTATGTCTCTAGGTAGCCTCTGGATGTGGAGCAATAGAATTAAATAAGCATCCCACTGTCCATAAACTTCATATGTAAGTTGTTTTACAAGTGATGAAGTCTTCTAAACAAGACTATTGATAAGAGGGACTGCTTGTTAAATCTGATATGTAAGCTCATAACATAGCCCCATCTGTCAACATTTTATGAGAATGTTAAAACAGGTTAGGAAGGCTTAACCTTGCAAGTAAAATGTTAACATAATCAGGTGGAATAAAATCAGGTGGAATAACCAGTAAGTGAAGCCCAAGGAGCTTCTTAAGAAGATGCCCAAATCTGTAGCATGGCTTTAAATAAACCTAAACTATTTCCTAGCAATGACATTTCCCCCCAGTTGTAATATCTTAGTTGTCACTATGACAGATGTTTTCTTTGAACAAATGACCCTTTTAAGCTAGATAATGTGAATTGTTGCCCTGCTATAGGTTTTGTTTTCTCAATAAAAACTTTCTCAAGAAAGCTTGGGATACTGTTGGCTATATATAATTTTTTTTTGAAAAAAAATTAATAACTGGGCTCAGTGAAATACAATAGAACAGAAGATTTGAACAATTGCCTTCATAGATTTAAATACGTTAATATTTAAAGCAGTTAACTGGGATCAATGTGGTATGACAAAAAAATCTGAATATAATTGGATGTTTTGTGTATATGTAGCAGTTTCCTAAAACACATTCTTTTATCGAAGGTATGGTATTTTTCACCGCATCCTAAAGAACATTGAAGAAAATGAAGGTGGTCTTGACAAATTCACAAAGAGTTACCAAACATTTGGAGTCAACAGATTCATAGATGGAGGATTATACTGTAAAGAATGGGCTCCTGGTGCAGAAGCAGTGTTTCTTACTGGTGATTTTAGTAAGTATTTTCCAGCACATATGAATATATTTTACCCTTATGGCGTGTCTAAAATCAGTCACAAAGTTGTGGATCTGTTTTAGTTTTGCTAAAGTTTTAAATAAACATTTTAAATAAGATGTTTTAAATAAAATATTATTTGTTTCAAAGCTTCTGGAAAATTTTGTGAGTTGATAGGCTACTGCTAAAATCAGAGGATAAAACCTTAACTAAAACTTTTTTAACTGGAAAAGATACGTGAAGTGTGCTTGTATTCAGCATAGATCAAGATTATAGAACAATAGTTACCTAAGTAAGTTTGGTATCGCTTGATTCTTGATCTTTGCTTTCTAATCCAAAATATCATGAAATTTACTAGGTGCCCTTATGATAATTACCATGCTACAGTGTGAATGGGAAGTAGTGTGGACTGTTTACAGTTGCATGCAAAAGTTGCAGGCACCTCTGGTTAAATTATGTTTCAGTCAATTCCAGAGTGATCAGAAGCAGACTCAGCTTCTAAATACTAAACAATAACAACTTTCTGCAAATTTGAATGCTTACATGTTGTTTACAGATTCAAAATAAAATATTAATATGTCAGGTGGAAAAAATTGGACACCTTTTCAGTCTGTACTTCAAAATATTTCTTTTGGGACAAATAACACTTTTCAAACATTTTCTGTAGCATTCATATTTCTTTCATGTAAGTACTTATGGATAGCTTGGAATGGTCTTTACAATTCCCTGACTTGAATCATTGAAAATCTGTGGGGAGATCTCAAACATTCAGTGCATGCAAGGAAGCCAATGAATATTTCTGAGCTGAAAGAGTTCTGCAAGGAAGAACAGGAAAAGGAAAGGGAGAAAAAAAACAAAACACAGCGGAAGCAAGATTATAAATACTCTCAGCTGGCTGTTATTTCTGTTTAGATCTATTTCATGTAGAGGTTCTGTCAGCTTTCGTTCATTAGGAATTCATTGAGACATACAATTTGGCCAATGGTGTCTAAACTTTTGTATACAACTGTATGTGGTCGTGAAAGTAGTTAAAAATATGCTTATACATAGCTATTTTTGCTTGTTTTAAGAATCACATATCTTTCACAGCATTATACAAGCTACCTATCTGATTGGGAACTTAAACTTGGAAAATATACAACAATGACAAAACTAACAGAACAAAACTAACTATACATAACAGAGGTTTAAATATAAGCAAGAATGGTTCCCATACATGCAAGATATCACAAAGCACAGTAAATACTTACTGCCTGGCTTCTAACGGGGCTTAAATGTATTGTACAAAACATAGTTAAATTAGCAGATGTACAAAAAGGGGGACGTTAGAGATCCAATAGTTCTTTTCCTTTTTCTTTTTTTTTTCCTTGTTTTTTTGGTATTTTAATTCTTGTTAAATTGGTTTTGTTTATTTTTTCCTTTACTTACACACACACACACACACTAGAGAGAGAGAGAGAGAGAGAGTTCAATACTAAGTAACAAGCTGAAGATTGAAACCTTTATTGTACAACAAAGAATTTGATATAATCTGCCATAGTTTCTTTCTTTTTTCCTAATGTTGTACTCGATTTATGCTAAGTGATCTATGTGGCATATATTATCTGCTATATGTGCCATATGCTATGTGTGGCACAATATGAAAAAGTCAAATAATGTTATGTTGGTAATATTGATATCCTAAATTGCAATTAATTTAGGATATCAATATTACAAGCATAACATTATTTGACTTTTTCATAATGTGCCACATACAGCATAGAGAGCCAGTTTAATAGAGAGCCAGTGTGGTGTGGTGGTTAAAGCATCAGACTAGAAACTAGGAGACTGTGAGTTCTAGTCCTACCTTAGGCACAAAGCCAGCTGGGTGACTTTGCGCCAGTCAGTTTCTCTCAGCCCTAGGAAGCAGGCAATGGCAAATCACTTCTAAAATCTTGCCAATGAATCTACGGGGACTTTTCCAGGAATTTGCCAGGAGTCAAGACTCACTTGAAGGCATCAAAACAACAACAATTTGTAATACTTAAATTGTAATTGCAATACTGATAGAATATTGATTTCTCTTTTGTTTATACTATAAGTTATATAAACAATAGAATATCGATAATTTTAATTAATGCTTGTACAAATATGATTGTATCAAAACAATATAATGTACTCAGATTTACAACAATATAATAAAACCCATTTTATATATAAACTACCAGTTACCTTTCTAGCAGCATTTGCATATCTTAAATTTTATCCATCCATTTTTTCATGGTTTGATGAGATTGTAGGCTACTTAACCAAGAAATTGGGATTGCAAGCCACAAAGGGCTCTAGCTTTTGCACTAAAGTTTTGTATAGATCCAAAGGATCATGAATAAGGTTGGTCGACATGAAGCCCGATCAACAATTCTGTAGACTGCCAGTACCCTCTTCATCTTTTGGTCGAGCCACAAGGTCCATTTGGCATGACATCTTGCTTGCCTTGCTGGAGGACTGAAGAGATAAAATGAGCCTCCAGGTGCATCTGCCAAGTGGATCACTTCATTGTCCTTACAGCACAATTGCATTGGTCTTTGATATATTAATTTTCAGATCCATATTCCTTGTTGCATCATATAATCTACCTTATATTGCTGCAAATGATGTTTGTTGTTCTCATTTAACAACAGGATATCCTTTGCAAACAAAACTCCATGCACATTCATGTCCTCAACCACCATGTCTCTAACACTGCCACAAACATCCCATATACATTTATTTATAAATACAGTACATTAAATTATTAAAAGTATATCACAGATCCTTGTCTTACTGCCTGCTCAATATTGAACTATTCACTTACATCATATTCCAATTTTATTATATTCACCAAGTAACCTTCAACTCTGTGTAAAACATTCCATAATTACTGTAGTTATTCACTTTCTCTAAATCAACAATCAGGCAGCACAGTTTCTATCTCATAATTTATATATTTATTTGCTGAGGAACAAAACTCATTTTCACTGCAACATCTCAGTGCCACTTCTTGTAACTTTTCAACAATTTTTTTCCAAACAGTTTCCGAGGCACACTTAACAAGCTAATCTGCCTATAGTTTTTGTACTTGTTCTTGCTACCATCCCCTCTGCAGAGGAAAACAGTAACAACATTCTGCAACTAACAGACATAGAAGTAATCTTCACAGACTTGTATAAAAAGTTATATAGCCACTTTATAAGCAAACCAGCCCTATATGTTGACATTTCTCCAGTTATTATCTCCAATAGTTTCTCCCCACCCAGTGAGGTTGGGCAGTCAAACAATGTAATCTATTGGGATTCTATTTGGAATAGCATTCCCCTGGAGAGATGCATAGCTCCAACCCCACGCTTGTTCCAAACATCTTTGAAAACATCACTTTGCTTCTTGGCTTGGATCTAAAGTAGTTGTCAAATCTCTCAATCTCTCCCTCTCCCTCTCCCTCTCCCTCTCCCTCTCCCTCTCCCTCTCCCTCTCCCTCTCCCTCTCCCTCTCCCTCTCCCTCTCCCTCTCCCTCTCCCTCTCCCTCTCCCTCTCCCTCTCCCTCTCCCTCTCCCTCTCCCTCTCCCTCTCCCTCTCCCTCTCCCTCTCCCTCTCCCTCTCCCTCTCCCTCTCCCTCTCCCTCTCCCTCTCCCTCTCCCTCTCCCTCTCCCTCTCGTTCATGGACATTTTTTTTTCTTCCCATTTTATAGTTCCTACTTTAAAATATAAGAGCCAAACAAATAAATAATCCACACCTGTAGCCTTAACAGTTTTAATACTAATTTTAATACTCTTACAACAACATATTATTATTTCCTTTGAACATTGTTATTTATAGCATTCGTTGTAATTCTACTCTTTATCATTATCTTCCCCATAGAAATCAGTAAAATACTCTATATAGCATTTTCTTACTTTAGTTTCATCAAAAATAATTTCATGATATTTATTTTTATTTCCATGAACTTTATTATATGTGCTTTGTTAAGTCCCCCTTCCCCATTTCCAAAATCATTTGTTATTTCTATCAAAATCACTGAGCATATTTTCTCTTTGTTTTATTCTTAACCATTCCTTGATCTCCTTCACTTGGTTTGTAGCTTCTTCTTACTAAACACTTAATACAGTATCTTTCTCTCATTCTTATTGGTTGCTACCAATCATTTTCCCACATGTATCTCCACATATCTTCATCCTCCATCAAATATCCTTGTCATGCTTCCCCCTAGTGTAATTCCACATACTTGTAGTGCACTATTACATCATTTTGTTCATTCTGTTCCAACAAAATGCCACCTCTTTCCTGATATCCACTGGCCATTTATTTTCCTGGAAGATTAATCTATTTTTAAATAAGTTTTCACAGAGGACTTATACTTTCTGTTCCTGCCATTCTAGTTTATTTCACTTGTTCCTTTTTCTTCAGTGTCCATTTCTTCCTAGTATGTGACTCATTCTCTCAGTCTTTCATTATATAACGTCAACATCAATTACGCTTTTAAACTGATATTCATTTCTTTGCCATATGTACATATAAACAGACTTATGCTTATACCCTTTTCTGTTTACCATTCTCATTAAGTATTTCTGAAAAGCCCAGTCCTTTTCTGGTGTCCTCTTATCTCATTCCCTCTCATCCATTCATGTCACTTAGCAGAATCATTGTTTCACCTGGATTGCATTCATTCAGAATTGTATAGATTTTTTCTCCAAAACACATCTATGGTTCTTCCATTATCATTCATTTGAGTATAACATGCAACCATCATCAACCTATGGATTCCTACTTTCATATGCAACACAAGCTAGATAAGAATACCCATACTTTCTCATATATTTTAGCCCTTTCATTCATAGTTAAACCTCCACCTTAATTTCCTTGCATGCATTCATCAACCGCACTCTGCATAATCAGGATCCCTTCATTCATTTCTATTTCTTTTAGTTTCTCTTGGTTTCACAGACATGTAACGTGTGTGTGCATGTGTGTGTGTGTATATATATAT